ATTTGCGAAAAACCGTTATTTTTCGACGGGGTACCAAATAAAAACTTTATTTACCGTCCGATCGGGCTGAAACTTACACAAAACATGTGCCGCCACACAAGGATGCGTCACAATCAACAAAATCGCCGATCGAGGTCAAAGGTCAAGGTCATATTTGCGAAAAACCGTTATTTTTCGACGGGGTACCAAATAAAAACTTTATTTACCGTCCGATCGGGCTGAAACTTACACAAAACATGTGCCGCCACACAAGGATGCGTCACAATCAACAAAATCGCCGATCGAGGTCAAAGGTCAAGGTCATATTTGCGAAAAACCGTTATTTTTCGACGGGGTACCAAATAAAAACTTTATTTACCGTCCGATCGGGCTGAAACTTACACAAATCATGTGCCGCCACACAGGGATGCGTCACAATCAACAAAATCGCCGATCGAGGTCAAAGGTCAAGGTCATATTTGCGAAAAACCGTTATTTTTCGACGGGGTACCAAATAAAAACTTTATTTACCGTCCGATCGGGCTGAAACTTACACAAAACATGTGCCGCCACACAGGGATGCGTCACAAGCAACAAAATCGCCGATCGAGGTCAAAGGTCAAGGTCATATTTGCGAAAAACCGTTATTTTTCGACGGGGTACCAAATAAAAACGTCGAAAAATAACGGTTTTTCGCAAATATGACCTTGACCTTTGACCTCGATCGGCGATTTTGTTGATTGTGACGCATCCCTGTGTGGCGGCACATGTTTTGTGTAAGTTTTAGCCCGATCGGACGGTAAATAAAGTTTTTATTTGGTACCCCGTCGAAAAATAACGGTTTTTCGCAAATATGACCTTGACCTTTGACCTCGATCGGCAATTTTGTTGATTGTGACGCATCCTTGTGTGGCGGCACATGTTTTGTGTAAGTTTCAGCCCGATCGGACGGTAAATAAAGTTTTTATTTGGTACCCCGTCGAAAAATAACGGTTTTTCGCAAATATGACGTTGACCTTTGACCTCGATCGGCGATTTTGTTGATTGTGACGCATCCTTGTGTGGCGGCACATGTTTTGTGTAAGTTTCAGCCCGATCGGACGGTAAATAAAGTTTTTATTTGGTACCCCGTCGAAAAATAACGGTTTTTCGCAAATATGACCTTGACCTTTGACCTCGATCGGCGATTTTGTTGATTGTGACGCATCCCTGTGTGGCGGCACATGTTTTGTGTAAGTTTCAGCCCGATCGGACGGTAAATAAAGTTTTTATTTGGTACCCCGTCGAAAAATAACGGTTTTTCGCAAATATGACCTTGACCTTTGACCTCGATCGGCGATTTTGTTGATTGTGACGCATCCTTGTGTGGCGGCAAATGTTTTGTGTAAGTTTCAGCGCGATCGGACGGTAAATAAAGTTTTTATTTGGTACCCCGTCGAAAAATAACGGTTTTTCGCAAATATGACCTTGACCTTTGACCTCGATCGGCGATTTTGTTGATTGTGACGCATCCCTGTGTGGCGGCACATGTTTTGTGTAAGTTTCAGCCCGATCGGACGGTAAATAAAGTTTTTATTTGGTACCCCGTCGAAAAATAACGGTTTTTCGCCAATATGAACTTGACCTTTGACCTCGATCGGCGATTTTGTTGATTGTGACGCATCCTTGTGTGGCGGCACATGTTTTGTGTAAGTTTCAGCCCGATCGGACGGTAAATAAAGTTTTTATTTGGTACCCCGTCGAAAAATAACGGTTTTTCGCAAATATGACCTTGACCTTTGACCTCGATCGGCGATTTTGTTGATTGTGACGCATCCTTGTGTGGCGGCACATGTTTTGTGTAAGTTTCAGCCCGATCGGATGGTAAATAAAGTTTTTATTTGGTACCCCGTCGAAAAATAACGGTTTTTCGCAAATATGACCTTGACCTTTGACCTCGATCGGCGATTTTGTTGATTGTGACGCATCCTTGTGTGGCGGCACATGTTTTGTGTAAGTTTCAGCCCGATCGGACGGTAAATAAAGTTTTTATTTGGTACCCCGTCGAAAAATAACGGTTTTTCGCAAATATGACCTTGACCTTTGACCTTGATCGGCGATTTTGTTGATTGTGACGCATCCTTGTGTGGCGGCACATGTTTTGTGTAAGTTTCAGCCCGATCGGACGGTAAATAAAGTTTTTATTTGGTACCCCGTCGAAAAATAAAGGTTTTTCGCAAATATGACCTTGACCTTTGACCTCGATCGGCGATTTTGTTGATTGTGACGCATCCCTGTGTGGCGGCACATGTTTTGTGTAAGTTTCAGCCCGATCGGACGGTAAATAAAGTTTTTATTTGGTACCCCGTCGAAAAATAACGGTTTTTCGCAAATATGACCTTGACCTTTGACCTCGATCGGCGATTTTGTTGATTGTGACGCATCCTTGTGTGGCGGCACATGTTTTGTGTAAGTTTCAGTCCGATCGGACGGTAAATAAAGTTTTTATTTGGTACCCCGTCGAAAAATAACGGTTTTTCGCAAATATGACCTTGACCTTTGACCTCGATCGGCGATTTTGTTGATTGTTACGCATCCTTGTGTGGCGGCACATGTTTTGTGTAAGTTTCAGCCCGATCGGACGGTAAATAAAGTTTTTATTTGGTACCCCGTCGAAAAATAACGGTTTTTCGCAAATATGACCTTGACCTTTGACCTTGATCGGCGATTTTGTTGATTGTGACGCATATTTGTGTGGCGGCACATGTTTTGTGTAAGTTTCAGCCCGATCGGACGGTAAATAAAGTTTTTATTTGGTACCCCGTCGAAAAATAACGGTTTTTCGCAAATATGACCTTGACCTTTGACCTCGATCGGCGATTTTGTTGATTGTGACGCATCCTTGTGTGGCGGCACATGTTTTGTGTAAGTTTCAGCCGGATCGGACGGTAAATAAAGTTTTTATTTGGTACCCCGTCGAAAAATAACGGTTTTTCGCAAATATGACCTTGACCTTTGACCTCGATCGGCGATTTTGTTGATTGTGACGCATCCTTGTGTGGCGGCACATGTTTTGTGTAAGTTTCAGCGCGATCGGACGGTAAATAAAGTTTTTATTTGGTACCCCGTCGAAAAATAACGGTTTTTCGCAAATATGACCTTGACCTTTGACCTCGATCGGCGATTCTGTTGATTGTGACGCATCCTTGTGTGGCGGCACATGTTTTGTGTAAGTTTCAGCCCGATCGGACGGTAAATAAAGTTTTTATTTGGTACCCCGTCGAAAAATAACGGTTTTTCGCAAATATGACCTTGACCTTTGACCTCGATCGGCGATTTTGTTGATTGTGACGCATCCCTGTGTGGCGGCACATGTTTTGTGTAAGTTTCAGCCCGATCGGACGGTAAATAAAGAAGTACCTTATTGTTGTTTATAGCCAGAGAGGTTTTTTGCCCCTAGAGGTCAAAATATTTGACCTAGGAAAAAATGAGTGACATTTTTGGAATCAGCGTGTCAAGATCTATCGTTTGGCATAGTTTGGCGATGTTTTGAACTCGACGCTGAAAACGAATACGAATACGACGCTAACTTGATGGACATGATCGTTTGGTGGGAATTTCTCTGATATAGGTCGCTCTGTGTGGCTTATTTATAATTTTTATGCTGATTTCGATCATTCCTCGTGCCCATCCTACCAGGCCTTTTGCCACTTACACTCATTAAGAAAGGAAAAAACTAGATTTTCATTGGGACTAGGTGTTTTGAGGGTGTAACATATTCAGCGTTCCCATTTTTGGATACTTCTTGTGCTCGTCAACTCTCGGTGATTAGCAGACAGGTGCTTGACATGTCTCCACCCTCGGCGCGGACGGTGGATATAGGTATGGAAGACCTTTTTGAACATTGCTGAGCGTTGTGGATTACGTAATCCTGCAGAGGGGGGCCACGGTATATAGAGAACTGGGGGGGCGTGCCCGCTGCGAGATCGACGGGAATAAAAGCGCAGAAGACCGGGCGAAACATGCAACGGTCTTGCCGGAAAGGTCATCTGATGATTGTTGCGTTAACAATAATTTGCGGCGTTGGACGTGATGCTTGTTAATGAAAAGAGCCCCTGAAAGGCGTCGGTGAAATCGTTCCCAATTTTGGGTACGCCGTTCCCATAATAAGGAACGCTTGCAGCGCCAGTGTACGAGAGCGTTCCCAAATTTGGGCTCGCGGCCCGGGTGATGGACTGCTTTAGAAATAGGGGAATGATTTGAAACTACGATGGGCCTTACAATATCAAACTCTTTCCCAACAATATTGAGACAACTATCAGGCGGTTCACGATCGTTTTATATTTTTTGGACGTCATTTAACGGTTCTTTTTCTTGTTTTAAATAATGCCTACATGGCGTTCCCATATTTGGGTCTATCGTTCCCAAACATGGGAACGAAAATGCGTTCCCGAAAATGGGTACGCTTGACCATAGTTCCGCCTACTGATATCGGAAATCGACAAAACTTTATGACGTCACTGTGACGTCATCTTAAGAGCCACAGCCACGAACCGTTCCTCAAACATTGCCTAGGTATTCATTTGAAGCTATGCCAAATTTCACGTTCGTAGCTCATCAGGTTTCGGAGATATTCTACAAAACGTAAAGGGGGAGGCAGCTTTATGCCCCCCCCCCCAGCGGCTCGTGGGTTAATGCAAAACAAATTCCCGAAGCTGTTCGACTACCTGAGTGTCTATTGTATTGATATGCATTTCATGTATGCCATATTTTTGGCTACAACCATGTCAATCGAAACAGGCATCGAATGAAACACCCTCCCCCCTCCCAAAGCGAAATTATTCTTCCTAAGCTTTTTTGGACACCCTGTACGCACAATACGTCATCCATCCTAGTAAGACACGGATCCAAGTTCCAACTATCCCCGGATAGGTTTCACAATGCAACAGAAACAGATACAATCGCTCAAATTAAAGACTCTGGCCGCACCAGCTCAAGGATTGCTGATAAGTGGTATCAGCCCCATCAGGTGAGTCAGTCAGCCAATCGCCACCGCCCGCAATGACCAGCGTAAGCACAGTAGCTGCCAGACTGAGAGCCGCCGCCCTTGGGCGAGGTTCGAGGTTCGTGCCGCTTCGTCCCCCGCCATGAGGGACGCGAGCTGCCTAGTCATCTGTCTCCTGGTTTGGACCCTGGTGACCTGCTCGTGTCTCGGAGAGGATGTCCATCAAATCTGCTCCACTCGGTGCTGCTCCAGTTGCGATGAGCTCCCTAGCGTGACCTGCCACTGTCCCAACCGTCGACTGGTAAGTGTAATATTCCCATATTTTATTACGGAGCGAGCGAAGCGAGCGTAGTCTTTCCTTAAAATTTCTGAGTATGAGCGGCCGGTCGGCCGGCCGGCCGTGGTCACGCTTTTGCGAGGCTTATATCTCAGCAACCACTTGACCGATTTACACGCGGTAATTTTTGTAGGGTAGCTTCATTCCTTCTACCAAGTATTGGACTATTCCTGATGCATGTGGGTGACCCTTATGCACGTGCCACAGCCACGTGCAAAAAGAAGAGGTGTCCGTTTTGTAATTGTTGCAATATTTCGGTAACTACTTGGCCGATTGCGCTGAAAGTTAACATGTAGGTAGGCACCCACTTGGCATTGCATATCCATCTGCCAGAGTTGGGGTGCTGCTGCGCGTGCGCACGTGCAGGGGTCGTTTCCAGATCTCGAGAACGGCTCGACCGATTGCGCTCAAATTTGGTACACAGTTAGGGACCGGTTAGTAGGGTGCCGTGTACAAGTCAGTTGGGACCCATTTTGCACGTGCGCACGTACAGGGTGCCGCTTCCAGATCTCGAGAACGGCTGGGCCGATTGTGCCCAAATTTGGCACGTCGCTAGAGACCGGTTAGTAGGGTGCCGTGCACATGTCAGTTGGAGGTACCCCCTCGCAATTTCGCACGTGCAAGGCCCACCCTCTCGCTCGCTCCGTTAGTCGCCCCAAAAGGCGTTTATATACTGGTAGATAAATACTAGCTCGGGCCCGCATAGTGGCGTTCTTTTAGAGCCGTTAACGTATAGGTGTAGGAGGATGGGGTTGAGTTAATCGGACCACCGAACTGTTCGGTCGCTGATTGCGACAGTTTCGCGAAAAAAAACGAGCGTTTGTTTGTTGGGGCTTTTGGGCACGTCGACAGCAGGGAAAATGCGAGCGTTCAGCGTATTGCTCGTGACGAGAGGAAGCCGATGGTACCCAATTTAAAGGTACGCACTAGGTTAGGTACTGGTTGACCTTCCAGACCGGGTCAGGTCATGTCAATGACCAAAAAGTCAGGAAAATCGGAACCTGCTAGCTAAGACATGAAGTCAGTTTTTTTGTCTGGGATGTTTTTGGGGGTCCTGATTCTGAATTTGACACTCATTTTGTTCATTGTGATATAACTATTTGTATTGACACCAAAATTCCAAAATTCCTCCAATGCACAACCAGTTCGGTTGTGCATTGGAGGCAAGTCGGGTCAGGTCAGGTCAGCCATCAGACGTCCCCGAGCCGGCTATTCTGTAGGTGTTTATCTATAGATATCACTACTGGAAGTTTCGTCACATGCGCAATGGGCTAGAAATGAGTTCCGCATGACTAAATGAATGCTTATTTCGAAATAAGCTCCAAAAATTACCCCTACTGCTCGTACCTATAGGTACCCAAAAATCACAAATGACAAATGACAAACGGGAAAATGACACTCAAATGAAAATGAGTGTGATGACTTCACGTAAAGATCAGGTCAAGGTGACCTTTGGTGACCTCGATAGTTAATTTTTGGGTATAGCGCCCCTGGGTCCTAGTCTCCTACCCACTACCCAGGCAGCGCCGACATTACGCTTCTTTTTCAGAGGACATCTATAGATGTCCCCTATTTGAGGAAGCTGGCTGCAGCTTTTATAACACACGAGTAGGTATCAAGTAGGCTGATTTTTACGGTGTTTTAGAGTTGATACACAAATGAGTAGGCAAGTCCTACTTCTGATGACCTCGATGCCTGTTTCACGCTGTTGAAAGCTTTAGAGTAGAAACGAAAAGGTTCAAGACCGGGGGCGCGGGAACTACTTTCAGACTGGGGGGGGGGGGGCACACCATAATAGAGATCAACCTAGGGTACCCCCAAATGTAGTTTTCTCACCGGTTTTAGGCCACTAATTTTTCATCCCTTGGCTTTTTCAACAAAAAATAAAACATTTGCAAAAAAGTGTGGTATTCCGTCTCAAAGCTGTGGGGGCACCGCCCCCACGGCCTCCGAGTTGGGGGGGGGGGGGGGGGCAAGCTGCCCCCACTGCCCCCCCGGCTCCCGCGCCTATTATGTTCAAGACAATTTGTCTTTGTTTCAGGTGATCGGCAACGAGAGCATTCCAAACACTATCGAGAGCCTCCACGTCGTGGACGCTGATGTCGTCACCATCAAAGAAAATGCACTTCATTCTTCGCCATCGCTCAGAGAGTTGGAGCTGCGCAACATCAATCGGCTTGTACTGAAACCTGACGCCTTCAACTTGCCGGAAAACTCAAAGCTGCGAAACGTCAATTTGACACACATTTTGAGCGTCGAAGTGCACGGCACGGCAATTTCAGGGTGGTGGGATTCGTCGACAAACTTCGGAATGAATGCCGTAAACAATCTGAAATTTCACCAGAGCGCCGTGAACCATTCCTCATCATTGGCGGGACCGATCCTACGCCTGGAAGGGATAAACGGACTCCGGCTGGCGCCTAAGTCGCTGAACTCCCAGATCAAACGGCTGACTATGAAAAATGTGCGGATGGACATTTGTCACGAAGACAGCTTCACCGGTAACATAGATCATTTGACGATGGACGGAGTTAAGATTGTCGACACACAGAAACACTGCATTGCTCTGCCGCACTCGTCAACACTGGATATCAAAAACTCCAACTTCAAACACATCCACGCTGAAGGCATATCGGGTAAAGTGAAGCACGTACAAATCGTCGACAGCTCTTTCTGGGATTTACAGGGCAAAGGCATTAGTATGCAGGTTGATCGGCTGGGCATTCATTCTTCACGCTTCCGAACTTTGGACACTGGCGCACTGGACGTAAAGGCCAACAGCTCGGTCGTCCTGCAGAACGTCACCGTAGGGATTCTCAGACCGCGTGCCCTATTCGACATCACTACATCCAGCACAGCAGGAGCAAACTCAACATTGTCAATTAATGGGCTGAACATCACTCACGCCGAAAACAGCTCATTGGCTCTCTCTGAGCATGTCAAAGCTAGCGTCACGAACCTCCATGTCAACATTTCACAGTCAGACTGCTATGCGAAGGAGCTCTTCTGGCTGGTGGGGAAGTCGAGTGCCAGCGCCCTGACGCCAGCAGAGGAGGGGATCCTGCACCAGCTAGGAGACCCGTCCCAGTGCCCGTCACCGAAACCAACCCCGCCGATCGCCGCCCCGACAAGCCCTACGCCTGATCGTAGACTTCACGACGGTCGGCCGTCCGAGAGTCACGGTCGATTCAGCACTCCTCCAGGCACGGGCGAAGAGAGACCCACGCCGACCGCTGCGACCGCGGACGTCGCTCACAAGACCGTGGAAATGGGGGCACCAAAGGACAACAGTGAGAAGGCACCCAACTCGGCAGCGGCCAGCATAGGGACCTACTGGCAGACGGTCGTTCTCACAAGCGCGGCACTGGCTTGGTCGTTCGTGACGAGTAGAGTCTATTCGACACGGCTCTGAGGTGTTGGGCTCTCCAACAAGCCTGGCTTAGTTAGGTGAACTCCAACATAGGCGGCGGAACGGGGGGGGGGGGATGGCACCGCGGCACCGTGCCCCCTTTGATTTTGGCGTTTTAACATTAGCCCTATATGGGCGTTGCATGGAAAGAATGGGACCAAAAGTCAGCAGTGCACCCTTAATTGAAGGTGTTCCGCCGCTACTGAGCTCCGACGGAGGCACATTTAGACCTTGCATGAACTTGACCAGCACTTGCCTCTGTCCCTTTATATATCTAGCGTGCATGTGTTGGGTGTGTAGATGAGCGCGCCTTCTGATTTAGTGATTTGGTATTGCTTTCTGCATGTTAATCTGCTCATGGTCTCTACATACTAGCATCGGTATGGTATAGCGGTCAATCAAGTTGCCGCATTTAGGGTGACTATTCCTCTTTTTGCATGCTATCATGATAGCGTTCTGTCTGTATGCTTATTTCACTCTCCTATCAGGGAATGCCGCGACTAGATTTTTCTTTTTATTTGGGGGGGGGGGGAGTTAACATAAGGTTCTGTGCGTCGCTGGGACTGCGGGGGGGGGGGGGGCACTCCTGATCATCTGTTCATGAATGACGGACAGTAAAAAATGTTACATTTATGCTAAATGTTGCTTGCTTTCTGTGCCAGTGATAGCCGTCAAATAGGTGTTGCATCAGTGATAGTCGTCATCACGGCTGCTATGCCAGCGACAGCCCCGTCGTCAACGTGATAGTGACAAGTCAGGTCAGCCTCCGCGCTGGCCCGTCAGGTCAGCCTCCGTGCTAGTGTGACGTGTAAGCGCCGAGTCGACAGTTTTGACCGCAGGTGCATTGAATCACGCGTGTGAATCAGCCAGGTGAATAAAAGGAATGCAGATATGTATCAGTGCGATTGGATTTGAAACTTGATTTACAATGCAGCGTACTTCAAAACATTCTAATATCAACAGTGTCATATGAATCAAAGCCACCCCGCAGAGTAAGAATCACTTATCACCCTATCAGCGTCAATAGAGCGCAAATCAGAGCGAAAACTGTCCTCAATGTGAAATGAACGTGCACATGTATTTAAAAATGACTGGACACAGAGCATATTTTATCAGTTAGTGACACTGACATGGAAATAGATGCGACATTCATGTGACGTGACATCCGATGGCGTGTCTTGAAGGAAACAATGCGACATTTGCAAACTGCTCAATTGATAAATTCGCAACGACATAACCAATATAACCAACGAAACGATAACGCATCTTAGACGAGGAATGAACACGACAATTATCCAAGCATGTTACCACATCGTAATTGAACAAGCTCCGATGAAAGTCACCACCGTCTATACTTTGATAAATCGTGATGCTGGGTTTCAAAGGAAGAACAAAACATTAGCGAAGTAGAAATAGGACGTTCTCTAGATTACAAGACGGCGTACACACTGCACATGACATGCGCAAATGAAAATATCACAAGGAAGCCATTGGCACACAGACGTGGCTGGCCCTTCTCCTTGGAACGAGGGACCCTCGAACGGTAAATGCGGTGAAAACAATCAACTACAGGATCGTCGAAACAAAATCATAAATATTCATCAAATTGATTTGACCGACAATATGCTGATAAAACCTGAAGTTGACTTAACCGACCATGTATGGAGAAACATTGGATAGATAGCTATCGGGAATAAGCAAATAACGCAGAGAATTGCAACAAAACCAAAGCACATTAGACAGTGAATTCAACATTGGACCTTCTGAGTAAAATGATCAGTAAGTTGCGTATAGCCAAACTGTTCTGAGATGACAGAGTTACAGCACGTACCTGTTTTTTAAACACGGTTGGCGAGACTAAAAACGGCAGTGAACGTCGCGAGAAATAAAATAATTGCCGCAACTATATATTGATACCACGACTGCGAGCTTAACCTCACACCTAAGTCGAACAAATTCAGGGATACATGCCAGTAAACCCAATGCGTCGTAAGCAACCTGATAATCTAAACGGAACAGTTACTGAAAAAGTAAAACAAAGATGCATCGAGTCAGTGGGATCTCATTCATATTCAGGTTAGCTGCCGAATCGCTTAAGTCACTCATTTCTCGCCGGCGTCTAGACTTTTTACGATCATAAAAAGTTCCGGGAAGTGAAGGTGACGAACCCGGCTTAGCTCCTGAACGGATTTCTCGCATCTTCATGACACTAAATAGCAATGGGTAGAAGAACACAGCTTAATTAAAAAAGTCTGCTACGCCTTGTAATCATGCTCAGGTACTAAAATACAACTCACTAGTGAATGAAGGACTTGCATCTGGGGCATGACGAAAAACGGACACTGTATGACATTGACATAGACATTGTACTTGAAAATGGCCGTCATCAGTGTTCAGGGTCGCAGCCACGCTGTCGACGCACATGGATAATCACACAAAATGCATAAACCTCCGGGTGAGGTTGTGCATGTTCAAAATTATTTTGACTAGGAGTTCTGCACAGAGACGTGTATGAGTCACAGGGGCCGCCTTCTGTGAGGCTGGCGGGCCCCGCACAGTGCCAGCGGAGCTCTCACACGGCGGCAGAGGTACTCACTCACTGGCTGCGGCGAGGACCGGCCGACCGTGGCGGGGGGAGTTCACACCACCCTCGGTCACCGCGGCGGGGAGCGCTCCGCTCCGGCCGCGTCCGCAGGTCACGCGTCAGCGGCGTCCACAACACCGGCCTGCGCCTGCGCCACGGCCGCCTGGCCGGCCTGCGTCTGCCAGAGCGGCCCCGTGCCCTGAGCGTCGTCCGAGCACCGCTGCCGGTGCGACTCGTACGCCGCAGTCGTGAACATCAGCTCGCCGCAGCGCTGACACTCGAGCGGCTGGCGGCGCGTGTGACTGCGCTCGTGGTGAGTGCACTTGTCCCGCCGTGAGAACGCCTTGCCACAGAAGCTGCAGCTGTAGGGCCGCTCGCCCGTGTGGGACCTCTCATGACGCACCTTCTTGTCGGAGCGCGAGAACTCCTTCCCGCAGTACTGGCAGCTGAACATGCGGCCGCAGTTCTGCGCCGCCACGTGCCGCGTCAGGAACGCCTCGCAGCCGAACGCCTTGTCACACCCGACGCAGACAAACGCCCGCTCGGCAATATTCTGCGCCATGGCGGCGGCGCTGGCGGTGATGGACCGGGGCACCTTGGCGCCGGCGCCGGGCCCCACCGGCGCGGCGCTGGCCTTCACTGCCGGCGCGGCGCGCCGTCCGGCCGGCGCCGAGCCCGGGAAGCTGATCCGGTCGGCGCCCGGGTGATCGCGCCGCACGTGCTGGCGCACAGTCTCTGCCGAGTCGCCCAGCCGGCTGCAGAGCACACACTGGAACCGGTACGAGTCCTCGTATGGCACCTGGCGCACGAACTTGTCGGTGAAGTCGCCGGACGTGCTGGCGGCGACGGGCTCCATGAAGTGGCCGATGCTGAACAGGATGCCGTCCGTGGATCCGCCGGAAACTAGGGCCGCGGCGGGGGCGGCGGTAAGGGCCGGACCTGGGGCGGGGGCGGGGGTGGGCGCCGGAGCGGGACTGGCGGCCGGGGCGGGGGAGGCCGCAGCCGGCCAAGAGGGTTGCTGAGCAGGGTCCACCACGTTGCCGTTCTGAAAACAGTAAAAAAAAAAAAACACGTCACATTGCAGCTTGCGGCTCGAATCGTATATTCAAGGTCAACCAGCGTCATCAGAGCCGCGAATGAAACAACGCTAGCTACTTCTATTGTCGTATTATAGTGGCCTATCGACAAAATATCAATCGCTCATGAAACAATCAAACCTGAAAAAGCGACAAATGGAAAATACAAATTACAAAAAAACTGGTTAGAGTAACGTTACTTCTAATTTTCCCGATACCATCGTTCAACTGAAAGCCGTGTGATGACTGGAGACGGGAGCAACAGCCACCGGACTGCAAACTGCGCACTCACCTCAGTCTCCTTTTTTATTAGCTTGCTGTCGAAGAAGTCGGTCGGTTCAGAGTCCCTCTTCACTCCGACCTGATAGCCAGAGGCACCGGAGCCGGGCGGACACTCGACGGACGGAGCGCGCGGAGCCGAGTCACCCGGCATACCTAGCGATTGGAGATAGGCACAGGTCACTAATTGGACGCGCAAAGTCGTGCATATGTAATATGACATATGTAATGCTGGGAGATCAAAAGGAGGGACAGCCAAGTGATGTCTATTCATCCATTACATGTTGAACCACTACCAACCCAACCCAGCAGTACATAAGTTTATCAAAATAATTCCATATTAGGTATGTGTCAATTATGTCTACGAAGCTTTTTAATATGCGACTCGAACCGCGCAGGCAGCTATTATGCCAAGGTAGGAGCTTCCGCCATTCAGCATACAGGCATATTACTTTGCATATTGCAATTGGTTCGTGATTTTCCTTTGATGCTCCTATACCTGTCTGTTGAGCTGGGGACTGCTGCTGTTGCTGCTGCTGCTGCTGTTGCTGCGGCTGATGAGACTGCTGTTGCGGCTGTTGAGACTGCTGTTGCTGCTGTTGCTGTTGCTGCTGCTGCTGCTGATGACGAGGCTGTTGTTGAGGCTGCTGCTGCTGATGAGACTGCTGCTGCTGCTGCGGCTGCGGATGGCGCCGCGCCGCCGCCTCCGTCTGTGCCTGTATCATCTTGTGGAACTGGGTGCGTATCTGAGCCACCAGGTGGTTCAGCTGAAACTCGAGCTGGTCGATCTGGGAGAGGAGCGTGGCACACACGCTGCACAGACAGTCGCTGGCCAGCTCCGGTAGACTGGCCGTGTACTGCCGGACAGACACGGACGGTATCACAGTGAGACGCGGGCGGTATTCCGGGTACGCGTCAGAAAAAGGCGATACCTGATCAGCTGTACATAAGGAAGGTCTCGTGGACGCTCGTAATTATCAAAATGCTACTTTGAAATAAATTCCTATTGACAGACACACCTGGAAGCTGGGCTCGGCTATAATAAAACAAACATTTTATCCGTGTCCGCTAACCGGAGCTTGTTACGGAGCACTATGGAGTCACTACTCGACCACATCACTAGTGCACGGTTCAATGGAAAAATTTTGAGCCTCAAGTTTAGCGTATCGACGTTTGACGCAGGCAGATGGCCACATCATCCTCTTTAATCTAGCATGGCCCTCTCTCATCCAGCTGGCCTGGACAGCATCCTGCTGGATATAGGTAGTCCCTGCAAGTGCCTGATTAAAGACGTCGAGGGTTACCTAGTCAGTCATATATCTATCGTATGACTACATATTTTCTTTGTTTACACTGCAAAGCATCTCACGTAGAAGACGTTTGAAAACATCATGCCTATTCCTTACCAGATACCGGTATCTTATCAAAATTGACATGATGAGTCACTTACATTGGTCAGCTGGATTAGTTTATCGAAGAAGCTCTTCTCCCCGTGGTAGGTGCGCGCCTGGTAGATGTTGAAGCCTGTCGAGTAGAGCTGGTTGGAGCAGAGCATGCAGTAGCTGGCCTCTCTGTCCAGCGGGGACACAGAGTCCCCCATGGTGCCGTCTGCGGAACACGGGCGGTAACTGACATGGTGGACGGCATAGGTGGGCACGAAGCAAATTACGCTCCGGAACGAGCATCGTCAAAATATCCAAAAGTAGAGAAATGGACTCGTTACATAAAAACGTGTAACGGGTCAAGTAACTTTCTATTGGTGGGCCATTTCTCTATACACAGTTATAATGCAGTCGTTTCTATGTCAGACAGCATTACAACTCTTTCTTCCTCCGTTCTTCATAACTTTTGATTATCTGAGTGGATCGATCTAGGAAATAACTAATCTCAGCTATTGCTGGGGCAGCGGAGAAGCGGAAAATGTGTTTATGGTAACCACCTCAAGAACCAATTCTATTCGTAAAATGACCTACGACTGACCTACGATTACGACCGACCAGACATCGGATTTGGAGTATCTCAAATTTTGTCGGGAAGTATATTGGAACGTACCCCGCGCTGCGTAGCACTTTATTGAAATTGACTGTCATTGGTAAAATGAGATGATGCAAATAACAAGACAAATTAATGTTTTTCATTAACATCTGAATTATGGTGTTGATTTTTCTTACTAGGACAGCTCACTGCCTGAGACAATGAGCATTGGGCAGTCAAAAAGCCCACCAAGACAGCTACCAGACAACTAAACATTAACAGTAACACACCAACACAATCTGTCTCAGTGTCCAAGACAATGCATGGAAACAGTGTGGACAGAGCATGTTTAGTGTTTTTAGTTGTTTTCTGATGGCTAGGGTTTGAGCTTCAGTTTTGGTTGAGTAAATCACTAGGACAAGGACAGTCTGGGCATCAGTGAACAATTTCATTGGTGTCTATCTTTTTTTTTGTATGTTTCAGCTTTAGTTGAAAGCCCCTTTCTCAATGTGCAAAATGGCAGCTTCTTCCATATCTATCTTGTCCATATGTTGTTGCCTGTCCTCATCTCAGAAATGTTACACTATTTTCCTGTTTAATACAAAAAGCAAATAATGAACTCCCTTCTGCAGATAAATCAAGGAACGAGCAATGGATGTCACACTTTGTAGAAATGCCAGTGTTTGTTTGTTTGTTTGTTTGTTGGGGGTTAGGGGCGCGCCGACTACGAGGTCATTTTGCGCCCACGAGCACATACAAAATAATTAATTACAAGAAAATATGCCCACCAGGGAATGTAGGATAAGGTCAAAGGTTGTGTCCAAGACACATTCATCTTCCTCACTGGTCAAATGAGGACACACTCACCTCCTCGCTGGTCAGCCTGTGATGCCTCCTCCTGCTGCCTTTGCATGGTTGTAGGCTGTAGCAGAGCAGAACAGTGAAGCTGCTACCTGAAGTAATAATATTTGGTCACCATTCAGAGTTGCAGTTTCAAACTGACACATCTTCCCTTTTCACCACACAAGATTGAAGATGCATCCCAAAACCTACAAACCTACAACTTTTTATATCTTTTATTTATTGGCCCTAACTTATGTTACAGGCCTCCCAAGGAGAGTGGCGCCCCGCGACCTATAATTACGCCACGCAAAAGAAACAGGCCGTCCTAACTTAGACCGGTGGCCACTTTTAAAGTAAGGCAACATGGGACCTAACCAAGCCTGAGCCAAGTCCTAGCCCAACCTAATCTAACATCATAGCATCTGTTCAACCAAATTAAAATGCAAATATGGAAGTTAAAAAGGAATGTGGATTGTGGAAGCTACCTACCTATAAACTGATTAAAAACAGTGCTTCCACAGTCAACTCACATTTCACATGCTAAGATCTGTTTTGATATCCCTACTGCCGAGCAGGACTTCAACTAACATACAAACAATAGTGAATTCTTACTTACTTACTTCAACTTACCTACTTACAAAGTACAGAATTTGGATAGGCCAGACTAGGCCTTTTGAAACCTTTCTAGTCGAGCTCCTCGTGCGTCTGACTATTCATCTGCGTGAGGAATGTCGTGTGCAAGGTGTGCCCAGTGAGCGTCAAACCGGGTTTTTAATTCAAAATGAATTTGAATTGATTACAAAGAGTAGACAGATGAAAAGGTGAAGGCACAAAATACAAATCATGCATAAAAAATTATCCCATGCCCACCTTGCTAGTTGCTGATCTTTGATGGAGGGTTGTCAATCAATGCATCAACAAAATATATTCGCAGAAAAGGCAAATATGGCAAATATGATCGTTGAAAATGTTGAAAACACCTCACTTACCGCGCGCGCAATCCCCGATGCCACGAATGAGACAAAAAACAAACATCCAATGTTTATTTGTTCTTCAAAAAAACATTGCGCTGCGCATCGCTGTGTTACCAAGCAACCAGCTGTCGAAAACCGAAAATGCGCTTCGTAAGGCGAATGTTGCCTAGCAACTTGCGAATCCTACAAAGGGTTCCTTTCTTCAGAACACTTTGCATGACGCGCCATTACATTACAGCACGTTGACGGCGTTGACGTGGGCAAGACGTGGGCGTCTTTTTTTTTTGACAAATAAATGACAGTTTGCATTATTTTCTGAGTCAAAGTTATCTGCCGTAGGACCTACTAATCTATTCGAGTCATTCGAGCAAGGAAGATCGAGATCAGAGTTCTCTATAGTGTATACCGTGATTGAGATCAAGATTGGTTCTTGGATTGCAATTGTTGGGTTAGGTATTCAACTTTGACTTTGTTTTTTGGTTGACGTGGTAATTGAAAATTCAACAGCCCATGATGAAGAATGCCTCTATTTTTATTGGAATTTTCGCCATAACAAGCTTAGTATTTTGCAAAAAATCATCAGATGAAAATAAACCCAATTGGGCCAAGAAGGACATACGTGACTACAATGATGCTGATTTGGAAAGGTTGTTAGACCAATGGGAGGTAAGCTATATGTATTTCCAGATACCCTAACATTGCTTGATATGAATCTTGAGATCAGTTTTTGACCAAATTAATCAATTTAATGTAAACAAATTGTAGAGGAACACATCTGTTTGGTCTCGCAGTCTTTCAGAATGCTGCGCTGGCCGGCTGACCCATGGGAACGATGACACAGTGGTACAGCATGACAGCCAGGTGCTTACACATGGCACCCTGCACTCGCTCAGTTGCTGCACAGACCATGCCCAATTACCATACATAAATTAAATTAATACTACCTACCTAGGTACCTTGGTACGTCATGAATTTCAGACCTGATAAAAGCCAGTGTCTAAAGCACTAAGCAAACTGTCAAACTGAAAGTCTGTGGAAGGCCACAGAGACTACCTAAGCTACAGTTACTAACAATTATTCTTAATTCAGGGTTGGAATGTGTTCAGTTGACATCAGATCGCAGCAGCCTTTGTCGTGACTAGACAAGTTTCTAGTCCTACCAATAGTTTTGTGTATTGTGTGGTAAGCTTTCAATCTTAGCTTCAAATTGATGTGTGCTTACTGCTTTAGGAAGATGAAGAGCCACTTCCTGATGATGAGCTGCCAGAACACCTTAGGAAGTCAGATCCCATCGACTTTTCAAAGGTAAGCACAAAATATGCACACTGCTCAATGTTTCAGAGCAGCACAATGCATCTTCTCATCAACTTTCTTTTATCTTTGATGGGAGGCATGAGCCAGCAGCCTAAATATAGAGTGGATGCCATATTAATTCAACTGCACCTCAAGTGTCCAATGCACATGAAATGTACGACTGCAGCAGCTGTATTCTGCACATGGACTGTACCCAGAGTTATTCATTTCAATCATTTGCAGTTAGCTTTTGGATGTATGAGAATATAGTGATGCAAACTGGTATTCATTTCGTACTTGGTACTGGGATTTGCCTTTTTGGTGTAATTAGTCATTTGTTGGTATTCATCGAGCGATTCATCCTTGCTGTCTGTCTTTTCAGCTAGATACATCTGATCCAGAGCAGCTGCTGAAGATGACAAAGAAGGGAAAGACACTGATGATGTTTGTGTCAGTGGCTGGCGAACCAGATAGGGATGAGACAGAGAGGCTGACCACTCTCTGGCATGGCAGTTTGTTCAACAACCACATACAATGTGACAGGTAGGCACTGCTTCAGATATGTGATAATGACAGGAAACATCTCAATTTTAGTTTTTGGCAATCGTGTGATGTTTTAACTTGCATGTTTAATGTGAATAACTTTTTTGGACACCTGGCATATTAGATTAAAGAAAAAAACTTTTGTCACATCATGTCTAGTTACCTTTTCAACTGGGTATTTTTTTTTTGTTCCCCAACATGCTTAGGACTGTAATGTAGTCAACTTCATGTTGTGAGTTTCTCATAATTTCACAGGCTATTGTTTTCCGATTCTTTGACTGAAACAGATGATTCTGAGAAGTGTTGATGGCCCTACTTTTTGCACCCAACCTGATGTCTGGTGATGCAGGCATTTGGCAAATTGGTTTTCCAGCTACTTTCCATTTTTTTTTTTTTGAGAGAGAGAGGTAGCTTGAGAAGGCGGCTATCTGCACTTTACTAGTACCTATTGTTCGTCAATGTCCTGCTTAAAGTAACAAGTTATGTAGCCCACTGCACGCCTGAATGGATAGGGAGGCGAGGTATGTTTTGTATCACATCTGTATGATTTGGAGCTTCAAATTATCCTCAGGTTCATGGTCGACGACAACCGAGCTATCTTCATGTTCAAAGATGGCTCGCAGGCATGGGAAGCCAAAGACTTCCTCATCGAGCAAGAAGGATGCAAAGATGTCACAATAGATAACAAGGTCTACGAGGGCAAGAAAGCTGCTAAGGTAAGTAGGATGACACTGCGTACCTACCTACAAGCGCTTGTAGCGTAGCTACCAGTAGCAAGAAAATGCCCGACTTCTCAACAACCTTTTATCGCCTGACCCTTTTATATGCCGTATGCATTCTGCAATTTCGAATACACTTTAATAGAGTAGTCTGCTAGTGCTATCGCCTGCTTTATGCTTCCTATCAACCAAATATGCTCGAAAATTTCAGCAGCTTTGAGTAATTAAGGCGATCTTCGAGAACAGCCCAATTTCTCTTCTTACTTTCAACTATCATATCCTAGGCGTTGCGCTTGCCTCTTTCGCTTGCCTAAACTCTGCTTCATCTTTGCAGCCGCGACAAAAAGTGAAGGCGACCGTGGAAAAGGTGGAGCTATGATACTCGACTGCCAGCGGCGAGATTGGGAGGAGCGTGGACTACATAGCGCGGGACACGAGATCGCGGACACAACCGTCGGGTTCGAATCTCACTGTCGAATCACACGTCGGAACGCGTCGTGCGGTGAATGCCTCGGAGGGCAAATGGGACTGAACATGGTGAAGCTCGAGAATGCCAACACTGCGCCCCGTCAAAGGCTGTTTGCGGCCCATGGTCGTAAGATTCGTTTTTTTTTTTACATCTTTATACTGATTGTTACGTGTAATGTAATGTCAAAAACAATGGTATAAGAATAGACGGCGTCGTTTGCTTAACCCGGCAGTTGCTGGGGTATTTCGCCACCCACCGTTTGCTGGGGGGGGGGGGGGGGGGCGTTAAACGCCCCCAGCCGATAACTCGAGAACCAATAGGCGCAGCGAAACGCACGAGGCGGCAAACGAAAGAACGCGACGAGACGCTTCAGATGAGTACTTAAAAGTTGAATTTTGAGGTCACAGGTCGGGTCAAGGTCAGGTCAAACACCTGAAATCGGGCTTTCAGTAGCATGGACTTCAGGACTTCGCAATGGGCGCCTCTCGTCATAAACTCTGTCAAAACGGTGCACAATCCATCATATAAGGCCTACAAGAGTGTCAGCTCCATGTAGGGGTCAGTCAAGCATAGGTCAGGGTCAAGGTCAGGTCAACCGGGTAGGCACATATCCCCGAAAATCAAAACTGATATTAGCAGCCTGTGACACATGTTTTATAAGTAATTTGGGGCGTAGAACACGATGGTGACATTCATTTTATCATATGTGTACGTGTTTGGCTCAAAAAGTTCAATTTAAGAAATGCATGTATCATGGTCGTGAAGTAGTCACGAGAAATTGCCAAGATTCAGTTCAAGATTATGGAAAATGCGGAACGACAATCAATAATCGAAGATAGCCATTTGATTGATCATGGTATTGGCAGTCTAATGGCGTTTACGGCATGTCTGTATGTCTATTCTGTGATTTTATATGATTTTTTGAACATATGCCGTTTTTGGTCGAAAAGTCAGAAATCATGACGTCACTAAAATCTCGATATCTCAAAATTTTTCCGACCGATTTTTTTGAAACTTTGTCACAATAAACTTAAATCAATTCCCTACAGGTACCCAAAATTTGGCGCGCCTGCGGCGCGCCGTTTTTATGCTATGGCCCGGCGAAAAAAGTGGGGGCGTTTAACGCCCCCCCCCCCCAGCAACTCGCGGGTTAAAGAACCCATTCAACGCCTACCTTTTTGAGGTTGGGCAACGCTGAAAGGGTGAATGCATCTTTTACGTTTCCGTAAATGGCCAATGGCCATATTCCATGCTGGTTGGTCGCCGGTCGGTCTGTTTGCTAAGTTGGGATGTATGTAAATTTATTGACCACTGTTTCATAAATGAAAAGACCGTGCAAGAAATTATCATGGTCACAAAATTAAGGACCACACAAATAAAATGTAGATATTTGTTTGGTTCTTTAGAAGATTCTCTTGCCCTGTTAATCGTTATATTTGAATATTAATGCTCCATTTGTTCAACTCTGCATTGATTCCAGCGTCTTTCTCACAGGAAATTAGTGTCCAGTATTTCATCCTATTGCTGTCTTTTATTTTGAACTTCCTTTTCATGCATAATCCGACATACAAGGGCAAGGCAGATATAATATATCTTGCTGCCATCATTTATAACTCACGGGGCGAAGCATTCACCTGAGGAAATATACATAATACAAATTATTCGAAAGGGTAGATTCCCACCAGTATGAATATGATATCACCCTCCCGACAGCTGAGGTATTTTACGGCAACGTCCGAGTCGGGGACTGGTGCGTTCGAGCTGTGCTTCTGGCTCCAGTGCTACCGCTTCATGTCAGCTAACTATTTTCATGCTCGTGTCCACTGGAAGGTATGTTCCAGTCATGGACTTACACTTAGTCCAGAGCCTCACACTGACTCAATAATTCGTTCACTGTTGTATGGCTGACTACGTTACGGCGCCCCTAACACATCTTATCACTATCACTGACTTTCAACTGTCCTCCTGTAGCACACTCCAATATAAGTCGCATCACCTTTCCCAGACAAACAGGGATCATCACAGACATCTCGGGCCGCTCGGACACTGTCCTAATTCACCACACACTACCGTTCCTCCGAAGCGTCGTCAGCCACGGTGGCGCCGCCGCGCCGCTGCACTGCGCCCCCTACCGCTGGGTGCCGAGCGGCGAGGGGTCAGTCGGCGTGTGTGGTACTGCTGTCGGCAGCACCCGACTCCGCCAGGGGCCGCAGGTAGGTGGCGCGGTCCTCGGCCGCTAGCCAACCGTTGTTGCAAGCCTTTGTGCGAGTGTACACCACCTGTAAAAAATCAACAGTGCACACTTCGTAGCACAGTCAAATCTATTGGGTAATAATTTTCTTTCATCCTTCCGCCTCTGAATTGAGTTTATAATAATATGGTCAGCTACCGTGGCAAGGAGGAGGGCCGTCCCCGCTGACCGGTCTATATGAATAAAATAACCGGACCGGGTCCTACCTGGAATCCGACGAGGGTCCCCAGAAGGCCTGCAGCCACCACGTTCAAGTGGCCGGGCCGCGAAGAGGGCAACTTGTTCTTCAGAAGGCTGACTGCCATGTATGTGCCGGAGAACGCTGTACAAGCAAACAGAAGAGCGTCCATGGTATGAGACATCAAACTCGTCATTTTCGTGACATCAATATCGATATCATGCTAATGGGATATAAAATGGTATTATTTTGCTGTTGAATTTATAAGATGCCTTCAGCTTAGTATTGATAGGTATTCAATATTCACACCATATCTATCTGGTATGGATGGTATCTATGTTTGCATTTTGCCCTTTTTATTGATGGCAGTTAGGAACCAATAAGAATGTTTATACTACAGATTTATAAACCTCATAAAAAAAAACAAAAAATGTGTTTTGAAATTGGCATCCCTGCCAAGTTTCTCAAGCATGCAGAGTAGGCACTCACTGATGAAGGTGGCAGCTAGGCCTGATATGAATGTTCTGCTCACACATTCTGTATATGACTTCAGATGTGGAAACTTTTCCTTGTATTGTTCTGTCAGCTGGTCCATGTTATTCATTGTGACTGCTGTCTGGTCTCAGCTGGTGTTTTTTTTTCTGAAAAGAAATAGTGCATTGAGACATGTTTTATGTCCATACGGTCCATACCCTTGGTTCATGCCAAGATTCTTCAAGATACCATATGCATCAAGATACCATACAAGGGTACATTCCATATGCTGCAAGAAAATATGCATAAAAATGCATGCATAGCATAGTGCATACCTACCCATGCAAGGATACATCAATGTGATTTCAAGATAAGTATTTCAGTACCTACTCAGTAGTCATACCATCAGCAGTTCAGTCACTGTAACAAGATCCCTGAGGCATTTATTATTTTTTTATAGCTACATTTAGGTATAATACCTACCTATGCATACACAATTATTTCAGCATGAAATTGTTTATAGCCAGTCACACTGCCCATAAACAGCCAAGCCAAAGCGTACATAGGGTGGGGACTTCCACCGGCGTCCAACTGGCGTCTAACTGAGCAGACGTCCAAGTTGGCGTCTAACTTGGCGTGGACGGAGACTTTCAAGCTAGACGCGTCTAAAGCTAATAGTCGCCAGCTAGACGCAGCCGCCGTCCAGCTAGACGCGTCTAAGACTTTGGCGCGTCTAGCTAGACGCGAAATGGAAGTCTTCACCCGTTGTGTATCATGAAAATGGTAATAATGTGGTCAAAATCTACCAATCACATCACTGAAACTGAATAATTTTGCTTGCAAGTGCCAAGTTGCATATTACAACAAATTATGCAACATCCTGACGTTGGTAGGTGTAAATGCATGCAAAATAACATTTTTAATTCAGTTAGAAAACCTGAATGAAATTACAAAAAATGCCGACCAGTAGATTTTGGCGATTGCTAGTTCGCAAAATATAGTACCTTTAAATACAGTGTATGATACCTTTAATTTATACCCTCATATCTACAGTATCTATTTCCTACAGCAATAGCGCAGCCGACAAATTCAACGTAAACAGACGAAGCGCTGCCAGGTAAGGTTATATGGCCTTGAGCGCTGCGATCGGCTTTCTTGCGCAGTAGCTGTCTAATTTGGTAGCGCAGAGTTGGTAGCGATTTTCCTCTTCGCAGAGGTAAAATTGCCTATCCTATGGCCTATCCGGCCTCCGGGTTATGTTATATGTATTGAAACTTGATAGATCAAGGCAACCCATTTTCGCAGGTGAGGGAACTCAGTGGCGTATCCAGGATCTTGAAAAGAGGGAGGCCAATCCTGCTCAAGGGGCCCCACCCTTACTTTAGGGGCCCGCAGTGGTAGTTTCCAAACGACGCCACAGGATCCGCGGAGCTGCGGAGGTCCCAAAAAGTAAGCAAAAGTTAACCCGCGCCCCACGGGGGGGGGGGGGGCGGGGGGGCTATTCATAGCCCCCCTATAGCCCCTCTGGATTTTCTGCAATAACTTCTAAACCGCTAAACGTATCGACGCCAAACTTTCAGTACCTTCGGCTGCATCAATTTGACACCTTGTGTCAAAATGCTTCGTAGCTACCATAGGTCGGCCGGAAATGACGGCAGAGTGACGTCATGTTCGGCCGATTCCGACATAAAACATTGAACCACGGCGATCGCTCTCAAGAGCTCAGTTTTAACCCACGCCCTGCTGGAGGGGGGTTTAAACCCCCCCTTGTGGTTTTTCGCGAATATCTCGAAAACGGCGGCGCGGAGCGCCGCCGTTTTTGAGTTTTTGAGCCGCCATTTGAAAAACGAAGTAGAATCACGTACACGCTTCTTGTTGCCTCTTGATTCCTTAAAAAGATGAAGATGTTATATAGAGGCGTTTGAAGTTTTGCAGTTAATAAAGGGCTTGACGTGACGTCAATTTAACGTCATTTTGTCATTTTTTTTTCGACTGATTTCGCTCCGATTTTCAGGGAACATGTGAAATTGATGTATGATGAGGCGTTAAAGTTAAACGTCGCTGGTTTAACCCGCGCCCGGCTGGGGGTCCTGGATTTCCACGCCCTGCTGGGGGGTGTTTGAACACCCCCCCCCCTTGTAACTCGGCTCCTGGGCCACGGAGCGATACGCGGAAGGCGACGTTCGAAAGAGCGTAAAAAATAATGACGAAATAACTTCGGTCAATTTTTTGGTCAGGTCAAAGGTCAGGTCACCAGAGGTCATTGAAGGCAAAATTTCGCCGATTTCCAGGTCGAATGTCGAAAACTTCCAAGAAGCCAACGCATAACTCGGGAACCAATAGAGCTACAGCGCCGCGGAAAAGTGCATTCGATAGCCCTATTACCGCCCTTTCTGAGTAATTATATCAGATTTGACCTAACGTCAACGGTTTTGCCTGCAGGGGGCAAAAACTGCAAAAATAGCCGATTTTTTTCGGAAACAGTTTTACTGCAATAACTTTTGACCCAAGCCTTGTACGAGCTTACTTTCACCGGCATCATGTTCCTCTCGTCAAGACGCATCGAATGAACTATAACTTGACCTTGAAATGTCAACATGAAAATTTGACCTCAGGTCAAGGTCATGACCTGACCGGAAAGGGTCATGTTGCATATCAGTCGATCCGTATCGTCGAGCTGAACACATATAAGGCGTTTTCATCGCTCTAGCATGCCTCTATCAAAAGTTATTTGCGAAAAACTGTTAGATACCATTCGTGACCTAAGATGACCTCAGGGCACAAACAAGGCTAACGGACACCATTTTCATGTTCAGTGTGTCTAAACTACTTGTAATTCGGTGTTTGGGAGTGTTTATAATGTCTTTCGTCCAAAAGAGGCGCATTTCAATTTTCTCCCATTGACTTATACCTAATGGGGAGGTCGCAAAATTGACCTGACCTTAGGTCATCGATATCAAAATTCTGAGATATACATTTTATACATGCTATTGCTCTTAGCAATCGCTGAAAGTTTCAAAGTGATCGGTCACTCGGTGTAGCTATGACAGACATTGAAACTTTTTATGAGGTGAGGTCACTTCAAGTGACCTGGTGACCTGACCTTGAATGACCTTGGTCTGAAATTTTCACAACATGTGTAGAATTGATGTGTGATAAGGTGTACCAAAAACGGCGGCGCTCCGCGCCGCTGTTTTTGAGATATTCGCGAAAAACCACAAGGGGGGGTGTTCAAACACCCCCCCCAGCAGGGCGCGGGTTAACGCGCTACTAAGCTATTGATGGGGGCATTAAAAGTTAAATGTCGCTGACTTAACGCGCTTCGAAGCTATTGTTGAAAAGCGGGAGGGGCGGGGGCAGGGGCATATTCTGCCCTCCCCATCGGGGCGCGGGTCAAGACTACACATCACATGGAAATGCATGCACTATACTCAGTGCGCTTACTATCTGCGTGTAGTGTACGACTACGCACGTATGTACTTATGTACATCGCTAAAGGGACCCTCCCACCTTCAAAAAAGTTAATGAATTTGCATGAAAGTGATGTCGCTCGGTTCAGAAAGAGCAAAAGCGAATATCTACCAAATTTCACCGAAAAATATTCAACGGTTTTCAAGATATTAGACTTTTACTTTTGTTTACTTTCTTGGGATCTCCGCTGTTCCTAGCGACTTCATTTTGGAAGTGCGGCGTTTGCGGCAGATGTTGCGTGCAAATAGCATATACCACCACTGCTAATGCTTCACAAAGATGTTAGTATAAGGTTTTAAAATCGTTAGATCACCGCTGACATCACAAATTCTAAGGGGGCATTTCAATGCATTAGCCCCTTAGAATCCGAAAACTGCAAGTTTGATATTCCATATCTCCGAATTAAAGCATTTGTCGATGTTGTGAGTGCCCAACAGGGGCGGATCCAGAAAATCTCCAAGGGAGGGGCCATTAGAAACCAGGAGGCCCCCCCCCATAATCCCACCTGTTGGAGGCCCCATCTTCCCACTTGTTGGGCCCCCCCCCCCAAAAAAAACTGCGTCTATTGAGCTTATCTAGCTGTTCAGGCAACACCTCAACATCTGTGCAGGCTTGGAGGCCCTCCGTGCAGGTTAGGAGGCCCTGTAAAAGTGGTCATCTCTGTGAGTATAAGAGACCTCCAAGTTATGAAAAGCTTTACCAATCTTCTAACAAAGAAGTCTTCTCAGCTAGTCTTCTAAGAAATAACTAAGTGGGTAGGTTAAAAAAAAACTCATCGGATTTCGGCCACTTTATTTTCAGGAGGCCCCCTTTTCAGCTTTTTAACTTTTTAACTTTTTATTTTATTTTTGAAAAAAAAATCGGCCAAGGGGGGGGGGCCATGGCCCCCATGGCCCCCCCTTGTATCCGCGCCTGGTGCCCAAACCGGTATTTGCAGGCCATGGCCACCAATTTGGCTATCTCAACTCAAAACTAATGTTAAGGTGGGATGGTCACTTTAAAGCACTGTCGTGTTCCTCCACTCTTAGGACTTGCATCGATTCATCTCAGTCCATCTCAGTTCCGAAATAGTGGGCCGTCGGTAATTCACGGGGTCTATTCCTACTCATGTACCTACATTGTGCGTTTACTGCAGCTTGGAAATTGTAACCACTGGTACTTTCTTTCGGACGCCATTTAATTGCGTCCCAGAAAAGCTATTTCTGGCACCTAAAAGCTGACTCGCCCCAAAATTGGTCCTCAGCACCTATTTGGTGGATACCAGCACCAATCATGGAAAATGACCTTAATTAGCTGTTTCTGGCACCTATTCATCGGTACGCCTTACTCTTTTTTCTGAATCTGGCACCTAAATGCTGAGCGTAGCACCAATCTAGTAGAAAAATGAACTACTGGCTGGTAGAATCATGTTGTTCTGGTATAATGACCCGCTGGAGTCTAGCCTAAAGGTTGCCAGTGCAGCTACACTCTAAGACAGCCCCGTAGTGATCTCAGCATTGTATATGACGTTTAAGTAAGCAAATAATATTGATTTGTTTGAAAAAACAATGTCATTTAAATATTTAAAAGTATTTATTTGTAATGCTTAAAGGGAAACATTTTTGTGAGTAATTGTCTCGATTTTGACCATTAAAACGGGTAATGCATTTTTTGACGTCATCAAATAGCTCCAAAAAAGAAATGTAATGTTTTCATTCCGTTCAAGGCCGCTGAAGAAACGCGGGATCTTGCGTGGGACATTGTCCGTTGTTTGCCGCGCAGAGTTGTGCCGTGGTTGTGCCTTTTTCATCCGTTTCTTACTTATGTCATATGTGTGCATGAAGCTTTGATTTTGTTTTTGGTTATTGTGTGGCCGGTCAGTCAAACGCCCCTGTAGAAACCGGATGCTGCGTTTCATCGAGATGAAGTCAGACGATGATTGCAGAAAGCTAATAATATTGAAAAGAGGGCCGGTTGCGTGGCATGTCTGTTCAGAGTTGACATTTTGCTTTACTCCAGTTAATGACCTGAGAGCCTGGCTGGAAGTGACGGATCCAAACTTTTCACGTTAAAATGGCTGAGGGTGCAATAATCTCTAGTCTCTACATAGCGGGCTGGTATAGGAGCGTCTTGCTATGCTGCACCATAGCTGGCTAGTGATTCTCTTTTGGCTAGAAATGGCATTAATCATTATCTCCACTGGCGAAAATGGCACTTGACATCACCGAATGCAACGTTCATGTTGTTAGGATACATAAAATCAGGAAGATTACGCGAATTAGGTAGGCAAACGTGGAATAAAATAGGTGCTGGATGTTTTAGTTTTGGTGCTGAATCAGCAAACAGCAAATACGGAGTTCAACTAGACGATCTGGCAACTTCAGGCTGTGTGGAAGCAATTAGGTGCCAGATTCAGATATTAGGGTCGAATAAGCATTTTGGGGCTGATCAGCAATTAGGTGCCAGAAACAGCTTTTTAGGGACCAGAAACAAATATTCCCCCTTTCTTTCATATAATTCCCGAATTAAGAAACGTGGCATTTGACGGTGTGGAAAGGACATACCCCTTCCCAAAATGTTCTCCGATTTTAAGAAGTTTCGAATCTGCCTTCGGCATGCGCTGGTATGTGATTGAAATATTTTTCCTAATGGATTGCGT